GAGGACTGTAGTTATAGCTGCTGTTTTTTTGTTTATATACACGATATTCAGACAATTGGAACCATACGTGTATCGTGGTTTGGGGGTTCAGATATTTACCGAATCTACGGACCAGTCAAGATGGAACAATAATCGTTTCCGCCACTCTTCCCGGCGGTTATCTGTGAGACGTGACAACCGCACAGTCCTGCCAGGATCTCCACAATATCTAAGGAGCCTACGAAAGTTCCACGTGGGGGTATATCTCGGTCTAAACCCACACACACGTGGATGTGGATTCGTCCCTTCCAATAAATATTAATAAGTCCCGACCAGCACGTTTACCGTTATGTCCATAACAACACTTTTACGACTGGTTGATGCCTCAGTTAATGTACAGGTAATTTAAAACAAAAATTGTATGTAGATATTCATTTATATATGTCCTATATATATATATATGCCAATTTCAGAATCGTAAGTAAGTAAAAGTAGTAGTAAAAGTAAAAATTCTTTTGATTGATAAATTAATAAAATAATTCAATATTTTCCCCCAAGAAAACACGAGATTATTTATTTAAATTCTCCTTTTTTCCCTTCCCTCCTCACAAAAATGATAGAACTCCGTTCTTCGGCCTCGGTGCTAGGTTGACGAAAATCATATTTGGAGGGTCGACAGCTGTGCGCTCGGGTCGGGCCTCAAACAAAGCTGACCGAACCAGAATGTGTCACGTTCTTATAAATTTCCTAAAATTGAGTCCAGTTTCGTTTCTTTTTCTAACACGTGGGTCATTTACTATAAAATTAGAGTAACACAATTTCAAAAGTGATAAATTATTTAGGTTTTTTCTGAAAACAAAGTATTCATTTTGAGTAATTATTTCCTCTGCTTCATTAGGATTGTAAAGCTTTTGACATAAGCTCAATATTTAAAAAAATCGGCATCTAAAATCAGGCAATCTGACCATTTTTTTATCTATTTAAAATTGTAGGAACAATGGCATGCAATTCTAACGTATAAAACAAAAATTTTAATCCATTTAATGTCATTGTACGCAGGTGTCGTAGAACCAGATAATATGTGTCACTACTCTGAATAGAATATATTTTAAATCGTATATACGTGTAACCATTTCAGTTAATAAGATACAAGTAATATCGAACAACACACTTTTGAACACTTGATTAAACATATTATTATAATTATACTGTGTTATGACGTAGGGAATATCAGGAACGTACAAAATATATAATCTATGATTGCTCTAAACAGCCTGACATTTGTGCTCATTAATCATTATAAGTTAGTTATAAATACAAGCAAAATTATGCCAGTATAATACCAATTTCATCTATAACAAGTATTTAAATTGAAAAAATATCTTTCAGAATAAGTACCTATATATTTTAACAGTAAATATCATTACCGCTCTTAAATTAATATTATAAATTATTAGAGTATTCAAAAAGTGTTGTTCGATACCACTAGTCACAAACCAGCTGAAACAGGAACACTTATGGTAAATTAGAGTTACAACAATTTTATTCAGAATAGATATACATTTTTTCTGATCCGACATCACCAGCGTACAATGAAATTAAATGCTTTAAAAGTGTTGTTTTGTACGTTTATAGTACATGTTTTTATTCCGGAAATTCAAAGTGATTTATTTACAGCATTGGGTCTAAATTCTGATAGCAGTAAGTTTAATAATATCGTAGAAAATTTTAAAAATAAATATGATCTCGTAGAAGGAGCAGAAATTA